GCCCGGTGCTGGGCTCCCGCCTGCGCTGCTGTGCGCCCTCGCGGCTCTCGCTCCGCATTGGAGGCCCGTCCTGCTCGTCTGTAAGCGCCTCTCCGGCTCCCCAACAACAAGCGCTTGGGGTGGTGGCGGGGTGTTAGTGTGTTTTTATCGCGGTCTGTCTCGGTGTCCCCTCGCCCGACTGTGTTTTGCTGCCTCTTGGGCAGCAGTGAGGATTCACCTCCCTGCCCCGCGTGCACGTCTGTTCGGGCAACGAGTTGTTTCACGAAATGTATTAAGAATAACCCGTCAGAATGTTGGTTGCTGGTCAGCTGTGGGGATCAACCCTTCCCTTCTGACTTGCAGTGGGGCCACGCAAAGCTAAACCGGCAGAGCTAAAGCAGGGGGCAGAGCTGGGTGGACGTGCCCTGTACCAGCAATGCTGCTGAATGCTTTTTATTATGAACGTGACACAATATTAACAATGTCAGCCAAGTATTTTTGATGTGTCAGAATTCGTTCATGTTTTAATCCAAATCTGTATTTTTGCTGCCTACTGTTGTAACGTTTGAGTTGGATAATTGACTGGTGACTCACACGTAGGAGCAGATTCAAAGAAATCAGTGTTCATTTACTTTAATGCGTTTGTCAGTAGCCTGCAGCATTTGTTGATGTGTCCCTGCAGTAGAGACAATAATTGTTACAAGAGCGTTAGGCTAGAAAGCTGAAAATGATAATATCTTTAAGCAATCTAGCTGAATTTTCTAGCACATACAAATCAGTGGCATGATATACGACTGATACATTGAGAGAGCGGGAAGCTGAAACTAGTACATTTTTTGTTTGTTCCTCTTGTAGCTCAGCTTAATGCCTCTTCTGTTTCCAACTCATTAAATATTTCTGCCTCTGCTTCCTATGCACATTTTGCAAAACTTTAGGATACTTAAACTGTAGGAGGCCATTTAATATAGGGAGGAAGTAAACACACACTAATGGTAAACTTTCCTGTATGACTAAAGGAAACATTATCATGCACCCAGGACCAAAGAATGACATCCTACTTTTAGAGTGGGAAATGTATCATGAGGTGATGAAGTAGTGACTCTAAACAGGATTTGAGGTAGGTGGCCAACTAAAACATATGATCTCAGTGCATTGTTAATTCAGAGGTCCAAAATACATCTGAAATGAATAAACAGGGAGATTTTGAGTAAAAATCTGTTTGATTCTGGAAGGTTATGTCTAATTCTAATCTTAGGAAGTTTATGTCCAATTCTAATCTTAGGAAGTTAGAAAGTCTAATAGTAAATTGGGGTTCCATGGCCAGTCACACGCATGATTAAAGGACAGGAAACTATGCCTTTTTATCACCTAACAAAGCTATTTTGCTGTTGAGCTTAACAAAAAGGACATGGGGGGATAATTCAATCCCAGTCTGCAGGTACTTTGGAGGTATAAAGCTTTTTCTAGTTTGTAAAGGAGACTTACAAAATGAAGAAGGGAGAGGTCCAAAGAGCTCCTGTGATTGAAATTTAGAACTGGTGTAATTTAGTTTGCTCAACAATTATATTTAACCTATAAATGTCCTCTGGAACAATTTACCGAGGGAATGCAGTGAAATCTTCACTAATGTAAAGTACCTAATCAAGGCGGTATTTCCCACTACCTCACAAAGGGTTGTTCACTTTTAAAGAGAGTAAATTTGAGGACCTCTATTAGGAAAAGGAAGACATCATAAATACACTAGAGGCTTTTGTTCTGAAAATCACTAGTGCTACACAGTGAGCTTGTGGAAAAAGAACAGAGGTTTAATTTCCTAAGTGTGCAGATTTTGGAACTCACCAGTGTCTGTTCAGTAGTAGGAAGAATATTCTATTTAGTAAGAGTGGATTTCCATTATTCAGTCCTTCAGTCGGTCTCCCTTATTCACTCAGAGGGACTTTGGAGCTTAAATACAAGATGTTTGGAGTGTAGAATCAGCAGGTTTTGAAATCATGGCTCTTTTCTATGGCCATTAGTAGGTTCTTTTTGGAATTTTCTGTCCTATCAGAGGAGAAGGAATACATAGAGTACATGTTCCCTGCGGGACCAGTAGTGTGGTACTGGGCTAAATGGCCTCAAGTTAAGACCTTTTCCATGTGACTTCCGCGTGACTTTTCCACGTTAGGATTTAATGCAAGTCATACGTGGTTTGGACTGTCTTGCATCATAGCTACTTTTTGCACTATACATTTATGATTGAGTGCATTGCTTCAGGTTTCAGGTCAATTTTGTCTTTCATCAGCAAAAACATTGATGTATGAGTTAAACCCCAAATGCAGTCTTAGCTAATAGAGGCATTTGACCACCTGGGGAAAAAAATAAGTCTTTGACTATGCTGAACACTTTAATCAGAAATATTTTAAATACACATTTTTCCCTTGTTTCTTAATAGGAATATTTGCAAGATCTTTGCTTCTTCATCACCAGAAGTTCCAGTTAGTTCTTGTGGAGAAGGCTGGGAGAGCCTCAAAAGGAGGATTGTGAGGTGGGAGGGGGACGTGAGGAGAGATGCACATGAGGTGGCAGTTTTCAGCAGCAGTGATTTGAGAGAGATTGCTGATGGCCTTCTTCCTCCACGCTGGAAGAAGCAGGATGAAAGGTGTAAGGACTTGTGCTACTTCTGCATAATACAGAAACCAGTCACTAGACTTCAGGAGATCTGTATTCCTGACTGTAAACTTCACGTTCAGTTGAATTGGAGAAATACTGGTTAATTGTTTTTGCAACGTTCCTGCATGTGGTGTTGTCAGGACTTGATGCTGTTTTGTGTTCTAGGAGGATGATGGCTCAACAAACAGTCCTGTTGTCACAAATGCATAAATAGATCAGCAAGAAATGTAACAAAGGCGCTTTGCTACGGTAACAATAAGCAGCAGGGACAGTAGACTATCTTGGGAAATGTCTTCTGTTGAAGCAAACATCATCTGGAGAATTAAAGAAAGTGTTCTAAGTTGAGAAATGGCTTTTAAAAAGAATTTCTGTGGAGCTGCTGCAGGGGTTTGAAGATTGAAGATCATTGGCTGATGTGTTTTATTAATGTTTCTTGGTGTTTCAGAGAAACATCTGTTTTGTGATTTGACCAAAAATTTATATACAGTTTGATTGCTTGATCTGAAAGAGAATTTTATCAGTACCAATGATGGTGCTTAGCCCTTTTCCCACACAGTAGTGTCTGTATCGTGATGTTTTTAAACTCGAGTGCTGCTGTTCTTCTGGTATTCAATGCCTGCGTTTTCTACTGGGCAGACGAAACACTGTATTTGCATCTTTGACAGATTTAGCTGAAGAAAGTCTCACCTTCAGTTTTCTTTTGTACCTCTGTACTGGAGTTAACTGTCTCCATTTCAGGTCTGGCTCATTATGATGTGCCTCTTGAACCCAGTTTTATAATCCAGAGAGAAACGAGTGTGTTATTCCATTTGTACCTGCGGTTGGACAGTAACTTCTGGCAAAAGGGTGAACGTGTAAAATGCCTCTGCCAGTGTAGCAAGTGGTCTATGAACTGAAGCCCTTTGGTACTCAATCTTTTCCTCAGCATGTACTAATGAAAAGAAGCAATTCCAGGGCAATGAGACTACCAGTCTTGGTCCATATTGTTTTCATCTCTTCATTGGTTGTGAGATCAAACCAGTGCTGTGTTTCTACACTTGTGGGCAGATTTCTGCCTTTCTGTAGCTGCTGTACTTTGGGGGACAAAACAGTGACTAAGACATGGGTAGTTGAGGAAGATGTAGTAAAAGCTTGTTTCTTTTAAGAAAGTGAGTCTTGTGTACAAACACAGAAGTGATTTCTTTGTTTGCAATCCTTATCCAAAAGAGAAAAAACACTTTTGTTTCCAGTCTTTTTCCATATTTTGTCAATTTGTCCAGTTAAATTATACGAGCTACATGCAATATTTTCTTTAGGACATTCTGTCTGGCAATGTGGAGACAAAAAAATCTAGTCTAAGTTTAGGCATGTTTGATGGATCATTGTTTTTCTTATTTTCTTTAAAAGATAAATTCTGAATTAAGAAAAAAAGTTATGAAGACTCCTTTTCATTATTTCATATGATGGAAGTGTATTTAAGGTAATAATGATCAAGTAGGCAGACTGAAAGCTGCTAAGACACAGTGGAGTAATATAGTTAGCAACGTGAGGATCTTTAATTGGATCGTAACTTGTTTGTCCTGACCTACTACATTAGCAGCAAGCTTCTCTGACCTCATCTGCAGTCTCTGAGCAAGTCATCCTGTGGATATTCTGCCCTCCTTTCTCTGGGGATTCTGACTCTGAAATAAGATGACTGTGGCAATAAAACTGAAATGGTTTTCAAACCATTCCAGCAAGTGCTTTCTGACTGACATCATTTTAGCATTTCATGTTTCTGTGGTTGATGATAACAACAGGCCTAGAGGTATTGGCAGTCCTATAGCAAGTGGCTCCAGGCAGCATACTCCCACCAGGATTTTACATGGATGCAGCTAGAGGAAGAGAGGAAAGTGAAACAAAGTGGGTGATACTTGAACTTTCATAAGCCTGTTTTAGCTTACCAAAGGGACCTGTCTGGATCCTGCCACCCCTTCCCCTTCTTCCTCTGGGATCAGCAGTTGCAACTGGTTCAGCTGCTTTCCTGGCAACCCGTGAAGATACAGCTCCAAAGCTACAGTGGTGGGATGTTGCCATGTACCTCCTCACCCACCTGTGAAGGAACAGCAAAGGTCTGTTGTCAGCAGACCTCGCTCCCAGAGAGGCTACCCGCTCTCATCACCAGCTGGGGGATTATGTATTGATAGATCTGGGACAATGTTAAAATGCAGCTCTGGAGTTGGGTTAAAGTTTAATTAACTAGACCACTGAAGATAATTTGAATACCTCCTCTATTTTACGGGAGCAGTTTCAGCCAAACCTTGTGTATTAATGAGTGTTCCCTACCAAAGGTAGCATAGTGTGTCTGTGGGTGTGTAGGATCTTTCTGGTCAGGGAAGTGCTAGATAGGTCTGGTAATCACAGATACACACAGAATTTGTACAGGACGCAATATCTTCCCCCAACCCTCATCTTTATATCCCTAAATTCCAGGTTACTTAATGTGTATGGATATTGTAATCCAGTGAAACTGAGGCAAATAATGAAATTGCTATAGTACATTTATTTTCTGCTGCTATATTTAAGTTTTATTTCACCTTCAATAAAATGGTAGTTGTTTTATATCTTGCATTGTTCTTCCTTTCTTCCATCGTCATCTTGCCTGTTTTGGCATGCTGAGTAGGAGAATTGAAATGTGCTGTCAAACAAATTGCAGTTCCTCTTTTTTTTGGGGGAGGAGGGATTGTGGGGGTCATTACTTACGTTAGGAAGATAAATCACTCATCATTACATTTTCTGGCATGGATGCCATCATGAGAACCTGGTGGGGAATTAAAGACATTGCTAGCAGAGAACTGAAAGTGATGCACAGAAATGAGCATTTCTTGCATCTACTGTAGTAGAATCCAACAGACTTGGCAGTGTGAATTCCAGATTTGCAAGAAAGATGCTCTTTTTCCTTGGCTTTAGCTTTGTAGAGAGGTTTACTTGATGAAATTCTGTGCCTCTCTCAAGGACAAGAAGGGAAACTGCTTGGGAGTACTTAGAGGTGAGCTCTGACTTTTAATTTGCAGTGGGATTTAAGTGCTACCACCTCACTTGTGTCATTGGAAGAATTCCCTTTACTCAGAACTTCAGTGTTCTTCAAGAATTTATTCTAACCATGTTTTTGCTGGACGTAACTCTCGTTCAGTTCTTACTGCTGGCACCCAGAAAGGCCTTGATTTGTTCATGTAGGATGTAGCAGAATCGAAGCCTCAACTTCAGGTTAATCTCATCAGCACTGGGCCACTTATCCAGTCCAATCTCAGAAGGAAGCTGCTGCTTCTCCAGTTGACTATAACACATTCTTCAGAACTTGGCTTCTCCGAGAGGAATTTTCCCTTAGGGAAGGACCTCAGACAACAGTCTTATTTTTGGACTGTAAATGAATTACCCACGTGTTCTGCAGTACTATAGCAGCTTCTTGGGTGATAACCCAGTGCATATGACTTGTTCTTGTGAATCTGCCATGTGCCGGACAGTGTGTCCTCAGAAGACAGCTGGTTATTTGCAAAGATCTCTGCCTTATCTTAAATGTGGAAAGATGATCCTGAACCTGATCTTCTCTGCAGGCACAGCTCCAATGAATGTAACTGAGGAAGGACAGATCATGATGTTCGTGTGTCCTTAAATGAGAGTGCAGAGTATCTTCGGTAATGAGAAGATAGATGGCTAGGGCCCTGTAAATCCAATGCAGGGCACTGTGGTACAGCAGTGGGAGAACTTGGCTGAAGCACGACTTGCTCAGGCTGGGGATGCTTCACCAAAAACTGCAGTGATGTTGTCCTTTTCAGTAGTAGTTCTGTTGCTTTTAAGGAAGATTGTTTTAAGGGCATGTTTTACTTTACATGGGAGAAGCTGTGGTTCTGGTTGGTACCTCAGCATGCCCTGATTCCTGCCTATGGCACTAATTTTGCTTAAAAAGAAAGGATTTCAGCCCGTGAGAAGCTAAATTATATACACTTAACAAGGAGAGTCCCTCTTGAAATTCAGTGCCTTGTGGCATGCAGAGGATCAAAGGAGTTCATCAGATGGTAGTCTTCAGTCTGTCAGTTCTAGGATACAGAGATCATGTGGAAGAGAAGCAAGGGAATTCAGGCTAAAAAGGAAAACTGAAGTCTGAAGATACACAATAAAGTCTCTTGTGCCAACGCAGACTTAGCCATCGTGATCTCTGTGAAGTAATGACTGGAGATATTCCAGTGCTGTTCGCTTTTCATCTCCTTCATCAGGCAAGCCACCAGCACAGATACCTCATGGTTCTCATGGTTCCAAACCAACAGTGGTGTGAAGGGTTATATGGTCAGAGTTTTGTTGATTGAGACAATGGGTGAGTTTACAGTCTGAAGGGTGGAAGACATTGCTGTGAGAGGGGCAAAAGGCGATGCAAATGGTAGCATTGAAACCCATGAATGCCCATGGTGGTTAAGCATTGTGGGGACTTTTTATTATCCAGTGACTGAATATTCCTAAGAAACTCCCTTTTTATGCTGTAACAAACCAAAGGGTCAAGCAATTGGGATATTTGGCAGATGTGACACTGAAACTTGGTTCATATTGGATTCTCTGCCTGAGAATGGATGGTTAGAGGCAGGTTAGAAGTCAGACATACTCTCTATAGCTGGGATATAAACTTGTTGGGGAACCGGGCAGATGATGATCACTGTATATAGCTTATAACTGATATTAATTTTAAAAAAATTCTTCTTTTTTTACTAATTTCCTTTTTTTCTGCTACTAGAAGATAGTGGTTTTCTTGTGCTTCCCATGGCCTTTCATTTTGTTTCTGTTGAAGCAGAAGAAACAGGATTCTAGACCTAGCACAGGAGCAGGGGAATAGAAACCTCATTTTATTTCAGTACCTGGAATCATTATAAGTGGGATTCCTGATTTTTGTGCATTTCATATTTTGCAAATAAATAGGATAAGCCTTTGTTCTTAAACCATACTTTTTTTTTTTTTTTCCCCATTTGGCCTAAGTATGTGCCTTCTCATGCATTTGTACATACCCAGCAAGCACCTGCTGAAGCATAACTCCTACACCTGGAGCAGCTGAAACTACTTTCCTAACTAGAAAGTGATGCGTAACAAAGCAGACAACTTCAAGGCTTCTCCAGTCTTTTTTTTTAACCGATGCGGGTATCACAGTGTGTGATGATGTCACACAAAATAAACACCTTGAGTCAGTTTTAACTGGTACATATAAACTTTTGAAATGGTGTATTTTTTCTTTAGTGTCAAGAGCACAATTATATCTGTGTTTTCACAATTTTATTTCAGATGAGAAGAAGCAGATGGTTGCAAATGTTGAGAAGCAGCTCGAAGAAGCAAGGGAGCTGGTATGTCTTAGCTTTTCATGTGTTAACTGCAAATTCCTAGGGAAAATAATACGATCATTAGTGGTAACATTGAAGACACAATGCCCTAAAAATACTTAACAAAAAATACTTAAAAGTGAAAGAATATTTTTGAAATAGTTCTTATTTGAGGATATGAAATACCCAAGAGGAGTGTATCCTTTGTTAATCCTGTGTTAAGAGATTTAAGGTTTGTGTTGTTCTAAGCTGTTACAGCTGCTACAGGCTTTGGGTTGTGGGTTAGGTCTTTTACTTTAGGAAGTGAATTAAATATTTACACACCTGGACTGTTTGTTGGTTTTTTTTTTTCTTGTAGGACCCGGATTATCGACTTGATTTAATGATTGCCTTGTAGAGCAGTAGATCTTTTTTTCTTTTTAGCTAGTGAGGCATAAGGATGTTTAGTTGTTTGAGGTCAGGGGGGCAGTGGTAGTGTGGGTTGGTGATCCGAGAAGAGCATATGTGTTAACCAAGCATTAGTTAGTGGTCTGCACTGGCAGAGAAAGCAGTATGTGTTAAGCATCTGTGACTTTTTTTTGGTTACCATTATAGCCTGGCATACCCTCCATCTGGATGGAATAAAGTTTTGTAGATGTGGAGTAACTGAGTGAAAGTGACAGTTGAGACTGACGTTTTCCCACACGGCCAATAGTTCATTGCCTGAAGTTGCTTTTGTTTATTGCTTGCAAATGAGTTTGATCTGTCTAGTGTCAGAAATGTAACCTGACTGTTGGGATAGCGAAAGGAGATTCCTTCTCCAAGCCTGAAAGGTCTTATAATTGAGCAACTTTAATCAATGAATTGGTTACTAACGAAACAGTAATATTGAAATTAACTTTTTTAAGTGGCATCGGAAGAAAAATGTCTCTAGAGTGTTCGTTCATGTACCTGGTGCTTTTGGTTTAAGAATTTAATGAGTCTTGTAGAGCAGAGCATGGGAATAGTATCCTGGAAAGCTGGATCTGAGATCACTCCCTGCAGGTTTACCCTGTGGATGATAAAAGCACCTACTACCTCTGATTTGGTATTCTCAGTGAGAAACACAGTAAAATTACTGTCCCATCTCATGAGATTGTTCTGAAGATATGTTAAGGCCTTATGGGCACTTTCATATTCAAACAGCTGAAAGAAAGCAAAAATCTAGAAATGCTTTTCATCTCCCTTTCACTACAACTGGACATAGCAGAAAAGCATATCAGTACAGGGAAATTGGAGCATGCGTTGTCTGATGGAAAATCATTCAAATTTGATTTTTTACTCAAAGTAAGATTGGAAGGAGCAGAAATTGAGTCAATGTCTCATTGCTTCTCTACTTAATGTCAGAAAAAGATCATCTAAATCTGTATTTATCATAAGATTAAAATGTAAATCCTGTATCTGTACTTTTATCCTAATGATGATCTTTATTTAATGTACTGGCTTTTTTCCATGCTTTTGTTTTAGATCTTGTTGCTAATGCTGCTGGACAGGTGCTTAATTCAGTTATTGGCTTTAAGCAATTACCTAACATGTTTGTGATCAATGTCAAGCTTTGGGTTTAAACATCAGTCTGAACAAACGTGCTAATAACAGAACTGATTAAAAAGATCCTCTTTTAAACTAAAGGCTACAATAGAAATCAAAATAAACCTAATACCTTGCTACTGATAGTTTTCATACATTCGTTTGCTTCATTGTCTTGAGTAGTCAAAGCTGGCTTTAGCTGATTTTTGGTTTATTTCCTACTTGTCTAGGAAATAACACTCTTCTGTATTATAAATATTATTGTAGAGGTAATTTGTTTGCATTGACTAACCATTGATTGTTTTAAAACACTGTCTGCTTTGTTTGGGTAAAATCACTGGTGTAATTGATTTGACCTGTGTGCAGAACTGACACCAAAATGTTGAGACTCCCAGGCTGCCTTTTCAAATCAGAGCTGTTGATTAAAAGATCTCTGGAGAGAAATCCCATTGTTCTACATCCCCTATGGAGGGTCTGAGTGTTACTTTTACCAGTCCTTTAAGAAACGTGGTTTGTGTGATAACCTTAAGGACATTTTGAGTGTAAAATCTAGCATGTGCTAGAAGAACTGGAATTTGCATTTTTGAGTGAAATTTTTCTTCTAAGCAAAAAATAGGCTGTGTGCTATTTGCCTTTATGTTTTACGAGAGACACATCACACAATTGTTGTGTTGCAAATGCTGGGTTATTCTTATCCAGACACTTGGCTTTTTAATAATGCATGTAAATTTAATGTTGCAAATGCTGTTTCTCTTATTTAGACACATTTTTTTTAATTAAATATCTCTATTTTAGTTCCAGGACTTTAGAATCAGAATAAAATAGCAAAGCTTACAAGTTTCATAAAATGCTAGCCAATACCGAGAGCAATTTCCATGTGAAAAAGTTCCTGTGGGAAGGAGAGACTTATTTTGGGGTGTCAGTGAGCGATATCATAAGTGCTGTCTTTCTTGTGTTTTTTTGAATGGAAATACAAGTGGCTGCTCTGCTTTATGCTGTATTTAGTGCTGGGAGCGTACTGGGTGTTGTTAGGAGCAAGTCTACTGGGTTAAACACCTGAGGAGCCCTAAGGATGCAGCCTGGTTTATGAATTTGGGAAAGAGCTATGCGTCAGAATGTTCAACTTCACCAGAGTGGTGGCAAATTGAAACATAAGCAGTAACAGAAGTTTGAGCTTTTAGGTTTTCTGAGGTAAACTCAGGCTTCTACAGATGTTTTGAGATTTAAGTGCCAGGACTTTTGTAGCTTTTAGTAGAATTTAGCTCTACTCTTGCTTGTGTATGAAAAATATTATTTTGTGACCAATAATATGAGGCCTGAAAGCTAAGCTGCATGAAATTGGGTTGCGTTTAAGTTCACACTGTCTTGGACCACTATCTTCTGCATGACTGATGGAAATTTATCAGCCCAGCCTGACACAAAAAAGATGTTAAACATTGGTCAGCACAAATATGCATGCCTCATCATTGTTACTTGGACGTGACACTCTCCGATATTGACTCTTTAGAATGAATATTTTGGATTTACTACCTGAAGGAGGCCTACAGGGAAGCTGGGAGGGGGGACTTCTTACAAGGGCCTGTAGTGACAGGACAAGGGGTAACGGGTTTAAATTGAAAGTGGGGAGGGTTAGATTAGATATCAGGAAGAAGTTCTTCACGGAGAGGGTGGTGAAGCACTGGGACAGGTTGCCCAGAGAAGCTGTGGATGCCCCATCCCTGGAAGTGTTCAAGGCCAGGCTGGATGAGGCTTTGAGCAACCTGGTCTAGTGGAAGGTGTCCCTGCCCATGGCAGGGGGGTTGGAACTAGATGGTCTTTAAGGTCCCTTCCAACCCAAAACAATTTATGATTTCATGGGCTGTTTGTGGTCTGATCCTTGCTGCAAATTCTGTATTCACTAGGAGATGGTTTAATTTTTATGTAACAGATAAGAATTGAGACTTCATTAAACTATCCCAACCTTGCATATTAAATTATATATATCTGAGAGGGGTGTGTTCTATGTTTATAGAACATTTTAAATCACATATATTGAGATGAAATTGATAAGAAATAAGCTATTAATTCCAGCTATCAGTTTAATTTATAATATCCCCTTTGTAAAGTTCAGCCTGAGCCAAAGAACTGTCTAGAAATAGAAATTGCTTTGTATGTTTCAATTCATTACTGACTATTTAATTAAAGTGTGCTTAACAGTTCATTGTTGAATATCATTTTGTATAATCAGAATAGATCAGGCGGAATGACTTTTGAGTATCTAGTAATTCCATTGATTAAATTCAGATGCTTTTCTTATGATATGAGGGTGAAATTTCAAAGTGTAAGCAAGTGATTACATAGGAATAAAGTGTAGCTGTCCCTTGCAAAGACCTGTAACCAGTAGCTTGGGACCCCAATTGAAAGGCATTTCTGTTCCAATGCCATATTGCTCAACTGAGATCAGTAGGTGGTGAGTAAATAAATCTTGTTTCAGGTGCCTACAGCAACCAAGGAGAGGTATTCTTTTATCTTTCTATAGGAAGTTGGAATGATTTTAAAAGGTAGGGAAGGGATTCTTCAGCTGTGCAAAATAGAATTCCCAACCTGGCAGCACCATGTAGAGGAGGCTCCGTGACGCAGTGGGCAGGTAATTAGTAGGCAGCTCAGCCCTACTTTATAACCCCTTTTGATTTTCTGTACCTCTGTGCCATAGTCTTGTGTTTCAGGCCCCGCAGTATTCTCCATGGCAAGAATAAACAGAAAAAGCTTTTGAAAGATAGATTATATCTCTGACATCATAATGCATTTGACTGTATGAAATTCTTGAACAGTATGCATAGGATCATAGAATGGTTTGGGTTGGAAGGGACCTTAACGACCATCTAGTTCCAACCCCCCTGCCATGGGCAGGGACCCCTTCCACTAGACCAAGTTGCTCAAAGCCTCATCCAGCCTGGCCTTGAACACTTCCAGGGATGGGGCATCCACAGCTTCTTTGGGCAACCTGTTCCAGTGCCTCACCACCCGCTCCGTGAAGAACTTCTTCCTGATATCTAATCTAAACCTCCCCACTTTCAATTTAAACCCGTTACCCCTTGTCCTGTCACTACAGGCCCTTGTAAAAAGTCCCCCCCATCTTCCTTGTAGGCCCCCTTCAGGTATTGGAAGGCTGCTATAAACTGTTGTCATTAAGCCCTGATATTCAGCTATTCAACATACCTACACTGAGATTTAGGATGTAGTCTTAGGCAGTCAGTTTGAGCTTTGTAATTCTGTTGGGTAAGTGGTATTTAAAAGAAGAATTATTATTTTATTAAACATAGAGCCTAGTGTCAAATAAAACTTGACAAGTATGTATGTATATATATGTACATATATATACACATGTATATACACATATGCATATGTATTTTTATTTGTTCATATCAAAATAAATAAAATGCCTTGTTCAGCCAAGGGTCTTGAAAACCACAGAGCTAGATGGAGGTAGGCTTTCTTCTGATCTATGCTCATTTGCTGGAAGTTTTTTAACCTCAGTTTTACTATTTTTTTGTAATAAAATGTATTCATCACATTTGGAATTGAAATCTAGAAATGTTTGACTAGAATCATTCCTTCTAAGTGCGAATAATATGAGTTTTGTTGCTTGTTTGTGGGCTTAAGAGAGTCTAAATATTTTTATAAATTGTTTGAATATTGCAGAATAAACAACATTTTTCTTGATAAAGAATGAGTATTTCTTAGTATTTGTGAACAATTGAGGTAATTTTACCCTTGTTGTAATTACGCTTTTGATTTACATGTCTCTCTTTTATTTTTACTTGCTAGCTTGAGCAGATGGAACTTGAAGTTCGAGAGATCCCACCTCAAAGCCGAGGAATGTACAGCAGTCGAATGAGAAGCTACAAACAAGAAATGGGAAAACTTGAAGCTGACTTTGTGAGTTTTTAACATGCTATATTTAAAAAACTCTCCTAGATGCCTTTTTTATATAATAATGCAGTTATTCAGGCAGCAGAAGGGGTATTTTTGACTAGTGTGAGGCACTAGTTCTGCATGTTTCTTGCTGTATTTATTGACAGATGAAAACCAAACTGAAGAAGAGAGACTTTTCCTTTTGTTAGTGGTCTCATACCAGTATTCAAATTGCTAGCCTTCTGTTCCTTTGCTCTGGATCTGAATTGTTTCTGTGGCATTAGACATTGTGAGTGTTCATGCTGTATGGATAATAGTCAGCTTTTAATCCTATTTCTCAAGGAATGGTTGGTAGAACAGCAGAATTTATACTTAGCTTATAATTTAAGTATGTTCTGAGTGGAAAATAATGGTTCGTTTAATACCGTTTATAGTAATGTGGGCAGTAACATGAAAAGCAATATAATCTCCAATCCATGGAATTCTTGAATGTAGTTTATCTCATGTGCACTTCCTTTCTTAGTCTCTGTGATTTCCTTTCCATTGTGTTTAGATCTTCTTGGCTTTTGTACAAATCGGTTATAAATACTGCATTTTTCAAGTAATGGATGCAAACTAACAACATTCCCTTGTTTGGGTCTTCTGCTACATTACCAGTCCTTTTTTGTGACTAGGATTTGCACGGAATAGATTTACGTTGAGACAAAACTGTTCCCTTTAAAATCCTGAAAAAGTTCAAAGGGATTGCAAAGTGTAGGAAAATGCTATGTTAATTGGCAGCAGCTCAATTCCTCCAGGGTAGGGAGAAAGAAATAACTAGTGGCTGTATTTTTTTATTCACAGAGGAACTGTGAATTTTCCTGGGTTGCTGGCAGCATTTTATTCCTTCAGGGTGGAGAGTCAATGTTTATACCTGCAGCCAGGAAATCCAGCTGACTGTCACTCCTTTGTGCTTCTGCCAAGTTGAGGGGTTGCACAAAACTGTATTAGTTAGAAGATGGTTGCAATTTTGTAAAGTTTAAGGAATGTGAGGATGAAAAGACTTGCCTCAAAATTTTGAGGCAATCTCATACCGTTCCCCTGTAGGAAGTGCTTATGGCCCCACTGGCTAAACAGCGGCTTCCAAGAGAGAGCAATTTCTGGACCAGCCATGGATGCTTTTTACCTTCTCAGATGTGGGAGAATTCATTGTCAGCATGTAGTTGTGGCTGGCTTCTTTCTCTGTGTAGGCAGAAGGGGGTAATTGGTACTTCCATATTCCCAGGCAATAAGGAATGGGAGAGATCAGGACTGGACACTTTTTATGGAAGAGGAGAAATGAGTGTGTGTGGAAGAAATCTGTCAGAGCACTAGGAGTTACATGATTGAAACAATGTAAGTTTGTTTGTGCTCAGAGTTAAGGAGCAAAAACAACATGAGAAGGAGGAAGGAACAGATTGTAATAATGGGAAAGAAACAACAGCCCAAAACCCAAGAATGGCATTCAGCAGAAGGTCAAGGGAAAAAATTAAGCAAACTACTGGAAAGGATTTTCAGTACTCCTGAAATCCTACTACGAAGGATTAAGCAAACTACTGAAAGAAAACAGAAGCTGTGCTTGGAAAAATCTCAGTTATCTAGAAAATAGAGTTGTTACAACTAAGTTTTCCTAAGTTCGTATGGGGAAGGGGGTTGAAAATATTTTCTCCAGTTTAATAGCAACTTGTTGGAAATTATATAACAAAATTATTCACTTGTGAGCTCAAAGAGGTGAGATGAGGAAGGAAAAGAAATGTTATTTTGACTCAAAGTGCTTTTGGGGGTTCTGCCTGAATATTGCCCTGAATGAGCTGTGACCTGTTTGACTGTAAGCAAAGTAAATAGGGTTTATGGAAAAGCTTTGGCTGGCCTTTAGGGAAAGCAGTTCTAAGTACTTTTAAAATGAATTCGGTTTTATAGATGAAGAGAAATTCTTAACTAGGAACAATACTGGCAGTTTTGGGTTAGGATCAGCTTACAGGTTTGCTGCTCAGAGTTCTTGGCTCTTCCAAGAGGCACACAGATGTGAGCTTGCAAAGTTGTGTTGCTCTTTATGAACAGAGTTGGAATCTCAGCTATATCCCACTGTATTTGGCTTGGCCTTTCTTCCTGTATGAAGCAGTGTGTGCACTGAGGAGAGGACATTCCTCAATTGTCTTGAGTGTGTGTTTCATTTCAGAGAAATAATCTCAGTGAGATGAATTGCAAAAAATATACACCTCACATACAGTCTTTTTCAGTAAGTTCTATATATCCAGTATGAAGTGGATTGGTAGTTTTATATTATCGTAATGAATGTTAGTTTTGAGCTTTTCGTTCTTTGCATGCTTTATAGCATCTTGAAAATTTGCCCTCACCCAAGCAGGAAACAGCAGCACAGCAAAATGTTTAAAAGTTAGGAGAAGGAAACGTCAAGTATGTAGACTGTCCATACTTGGACAGTATAGATGGACAACATTTAGGGTTTACTTGTGACATGTAATATCTAATTTGTGAGTTTATTTGATCTTGGGCAATGTGTGTAAAAATGGCAGAAGACTGGACCATTGATGTTATTTCCTACATGCTGTGGCATCTCTAATGAATATTTAATGTTTTTTTTTTCTATGCACTTTACTATGCCAGAAGTATATTCTGAAAAATATGGATTTGAGGTTAGTTGAGCTGTACTTTGAAAAGTTACTCCAAACATGGCATTTTCATCTCATAACTTACTAATGAAAGAGGAACAAGTTGCAAATAGGAGATTTATTTCCCCTCCTTGCTAAGCCTTGTTACCCTGAGTTATGATCACAGGTAGTTAGTTATCAGTGCTCTGCAGTCCAGACGCGTGTGCGGAGGCAATGACATCCACCCCACACCCTCTATTCCACACGGGTAGTTGGTAGCCCACTGATTGCATTAATTCCTATCTGAGGAGAAAAGGGCACCTTGCTCCACCTTGGCCCTCCCTCTTGGAGAGAAACAGTGGGAAGGGAAAAAAGAATAGCTCAGTTTTGTCATTAAAAGTTTTCAGCACTGTGAATAGGGACGGGGAAAATGAACAGAGTGAGTATTGGGCTCCAGCTAAGGCAGCAGTGTTTCTGGTGCTTGCCTCACTGCTATGTAGTCATCCGTGGGGAGCAGATGCCCGGGGAGAAATATAAGAATAGAGCAAGCATGAAGTGGTACTTTGCAAAAAAGCTGTCTGCACCACGAAAGGTTAAGATTGAGGCTTGTTTACTGTGTGTGATGAGCAGAAGAGAACGGAATAAAACTGTCTGTTAAACCGTATGTTGTCTTTTTTAACTTGCAGGTATAAATCTTGGGTTTATGATTTATTTTCAGTAGTAAATGCCCAGTACCCCATTTTCACAGCGGCGTTTCGTTCCTGTGGTCTCCAGGCTGCGCTGGCTCTGGGGGCCCCGCACGGACCGGGCTGGCTGGGCTGCAAAGATTGTGGTAATGGCGCTATCTTGTGGCCCCAAGTGGAGTTGCAGACCACGTACTTGGGCCTTCTGGGTTGACTAAGGTCTTGGGACCACCTAGTAAAGAGTTCCTGAAATTTAAACCAACCTTCCGATGAGCAGTTTTTTTCCCTGCACCGACCGATGCACTATTTTGTGGTTTAAGCTTGTAAATATTTTGGTTATGACTATTGCAGATGTCGAATGCCCGTGGTGACTGCCTGCACGAACTAAGTTCTGAGTGCCAAACCCCTTATATTTTATTGTAGTCTTTTAGTTACAGGGACTATAGCTATTGTTTGGGGTATTTTACAAATAAAGCATTTTTTGTTAATTGTAACCTGAAAATAGCCAGTCATGTTTAAACAGTGGGGATATGCAGTGGTAAAAGGCTTTGCAGGTTTTATCAGGTTTTATAAGAAGTTTGACCTGAATCTGTCCCAGGTCATGTGAAATTGTAGCTATATCAACTTAGTAAATGTGTCGTTATCTGCTAGCGTTTGTATTTGCTGCACGGGTTCCATGTGCTGGCTCAAGACCAGGGCACCATAAAAAAAAAAACAATACCAAAAAAACCACAACAAAACAAACCAAAAACAGACACATGCATTTTCCTGAAAAGCTTAGGCTGAAGTATGAGGCATTCAAAATGATGGGAAAATACAAAAATCCAATAAAGCCGTATTACACAGTAATATTCCTATTACAAAAATGGCAACTACACAATCTTCAAATAAAGGATGAGGCATAGGAACTGTTCCTAATCTGTCATGGCAGCACAGAGGCAAATTTTCCAGGTATCATTTGTTATCAGTCCAAGAGACAGTGTTCGTTCCTTTAAAGACTCAGAATTGGTACTAATTTTGGTTATTCTGACCTTTAAGTTAAAGTAAAGAAAAAAAAAAAGAGGGTGAGGAGTCATAGATATATAGACTTGCACAAATCTTGTCTAAACATTTGAAAATTTTTGGCATTTAACAATAGGTTCAGTTCAGTCAATAGTGGAGATATATACTCACATCTCATACCTCCTGCAGGTTCTGTTTAAGATCATTGTTAAAGTGGCAACTCCTGTGAGGCTTTAGAAACATCTAAGGTGATAAGCAGTGGAATTTCATTTGATAGTTAGCTCTTTTGTGCAACTCTGAAGTACCACCTGAGTCCAGATGCTCACCTGAACAACTGCTACAGCTCTGTCAGTTATATTCTGGCTGCTTTTTCGCAAATAGTGCTGCCCTTATTGCAGGTTCAGTTGCCTACCCAGACAAATATTCATATGGGTGTGAGCATAACGAACAAGAGTTGTCAAAAGGCAAGTTAATGGTCTGTGTCTTTATGGCCAGAATCTTCCTTAGCTTTCCGGTTTGAGCTAAAAGCTTAGAGACTGAGCTCTAATTGCTGCTGGATTGTTTTGAATCATAAAGCAAAGCATTATTACTTTACAGTTACAAAATCATAAACTCTGTGGGACTAATGTGTATATTGTGTAGATCTTCATAATTGTATCCCAAGAGTTTTATTAGAAACTGGGAATCCACCACTGAAAGGGTTGTCAATCCT